ATACGTACATAGCACTAAGTAAAGTATAAACAATATTTCGAAAGTGGCTTGGCCACTTTGGTGTACCCGGATCCAATTTGGAATATGTGTGGGCCATGCCGCTGCTATTGGGACTATGTACTATGATACATATCCAACGCTTTTTTAACCGCACCAGTGATACATGGAGTCATCTGTGAGCTATGATATTTTTTTTCAGCCACACATACAACATCAATAATATTGAAACACGGGATTCCTATTTCTAATGATCGCGCCATACTAGGTCGGATTGTATTGTACCACCAGATGCAAAAAAATTAATAATTCAAACAGTTTTGCCAAAGCACATCTAGATGTGCCATAAGTATTGCACATCCAAATCCTATGTCTCAACTAATTCAAAAGCTATGCTAGTCACGCCCATGTTATTTTGTTTGGCACATCGAGCTCGTCAAATTATATGGAAGCACCGTCCAAACATGGACCGAATTAATGTGCCATAAAATGTAGATATGTGTAGTAGCATTGGAAGCATTAATGCGGCAACGCCAACCTCTGCTGCCAATGTCTTCAAAATGTGTCTTTTTCCTTCTCCGGGCTCTCTTTTCATACACACTTCCCAACTTGTATGCTACAAGAAATCCGCATAGCCTACATCAACTTTGTATTGTTGAATATACTAGTACGAGATGTTGAAATCTCATAGGAGTGCCAAGATGCATCTTTCTATAGTTTCGATGCATAAGGGTAGGAGGCATGAGAAACATAGCAATATTAACGGAACTGCAAATTTGTGAAAGTTAGTCTCACAACGTTGTTTCTTAGAGCTATGTCCCTAACATTGTGCTCCCTCCAATCCTAACTAGTGCCTATTTTTTTTTCAATTTTCCCCTCAATACTCTGCGTGGTCCAGCGATTCAGCGATAGTTTCCTATCATGCCCCTGTTTTAGGTTCGCATGCAATGTCTCATAATTACTCGCATACAGAGAGATAGGTTTATGCAGGCATGCAGGAAATAAAATCTGCAGGCGCATGGAAAAATAGTCAAGAAAATATCTTGTTGGCAATAAGGCGGACGAAATGATAAAGAACTAGATGATGCCCCGCGTGTTGCTGCGGGAACTCTTAGTCCTACGCATATATGATAATACATAAATTGGATTTCTATGTTTGCATAGTAGATATATGATCTTAAGATAGTGAAATGTGCATTATGTGATACTTTTATTAAATATAGTGGTACGGCATAATTATTCTCATATAATTTACATACATACCAATGTATACACACACATTAAGTACAGAGATTCTAAATTGGAGATGACATAAAACATTATATACCAATTGTCATTTTGAGATACTTATTATGTATTGTCTGGTGACTCCTGTTGTAAACCAATCTTCTGCATTTTACTACGTAAATTGTATATAGTATACCAAGTAGGTATTACAGAAGTTTATAGCAGGAAGCATTAAGACAATCTGCCAGAGCACAATCAACCAAATTTAAAAAAGTTGAGTGGAAATAACACTACCTGAGAAATCAAATGCATAATAGAGAAAACACTTTTTTTTTACGGAGCAGAGGAAACTAATTACGCATTTACGCTCCTGGTTTCAATCCAGGGCTTCAAAGCTTGTGTGGAGTCATCTAGTAAGCACGTCCCTACAAAGAAGCATGAGTATTAAATTAGATAAGACAATTTGATAACAATACAGAAGAACAAACAGTGACCATGCATCGTTGGGATAGCAAATAATACGCATACTCATTCATATATGTGTGTCAAAAAACAATCAGCAAACCATGTAGGAACAACAACCTGACATGAATCAACTGGCATGAGAGTGGGAGATACATAAGGAACTCCACCTGTATGAGCGGAACACAGGTCCATGAAGAAATATTAACAGCCCCGTGTGGTAATTTTGATAGATATAATTAGGTATTAAGGTAAGGGTTAGTTACCGGCTCATGGGCGTCATCAGCACCATCGAAGGGAAGGTGCTCCCCAACGACACCAAGATGCGTGTCGGCGCATGGTGAATTACGTGCCCTTCTCCATGGGGGCGGACCGAGTACAATTGGGGATCCGACACTGCTAGCTTCCTGCAAGCGGTGGATCGGCGACAACGGGACGTTATGCAATGCGTTGCCGTTCAAGTTCATGGCGTTCCTGCTCTGACTATGCAAGGACTCGGTGTACCTGTAGATGAACATGTCGTTGGCCATTCTGTGCAGGTTCTTTAGGTTAGTTGATGACCACCTTCTCCATGGCACACGACCTGAAGTTTCACATCTCCAGGATGCATTTGTTTGGTGTAGAAGATGGAGATAATCTGTCGGAGAAGATAAAGAAAGCCATGGAAAATCAGTTGGTAGGGGAATTAATTGGGG